GAGAGAGAGAGAGAGAGAGAGAGAGAGAGAGAGAGAGAGAGAGAGAGAGAGGCGTGGAATGGGGAAACCGGGGGAAACATCACGGTGGAGGTATGGCAGACGGGCCGACTACGCGCCACACTGAGTTGCGAGAATCCCCCCCAGTCACAAAAAGTGTGTGCCCCGTTAAAAGTAACTAGGCCCCACTAGGATCGTGCTGCAGGAGAATGGTCGTATAGCCCTATCCCCCTCCTTCTTCCTGTTTCTCTGCAGCGCTTTTTTACCCTCTTTCTCCCGTCTGACTCCCTGGAGTTACACGGCAGCAGGAGGGCGATTTTGAGACGCGGCCGTATAGCGGCAGCGTGGCTTATTGGGGGGAGAGGGGGGGAGAGAGAGAGAGAGAGAGAGAGAGAGAGAGAGAGAGAGAGGGGAGGGGGGGGGGCGTTACGAGCGCTGAACGGCTCAACGGGCCGCGGATCTTGCACACCACTTCGGGGCGTGTGCGTGATATATACTTCTTCTTACAGCCACTCCAACTTCGAGCAAATATTCTTTCAGCGATTCCACGACGTTCAGCGTTCGGTTCCGTTCCACGAAAGCACGTGGAATCTCGGGGCAAGTGAAAAATGTTCGATTCGGGAGCCTACATTTAAAAAACTCACCAAAAAACCAAGAATGCAAATGTCGCATACTTGTAGGTGTATATACACCTAGGTGTGTGAACGGCAGTCGTACACATGGAGGCACAAGTGTGCGAATTTCAGAGGGAAATTTACATGTGCAAGTGCAGTCCCTTTGAGTGTACGAATGGGCATGCGGTCACGAGTGAAGTGCTTGCATCCAGTGTGATGTGAAAGGGAGTGATTGTGATTGGTGGCTGATCATGGCGGGGTAATGAGCCAGCACCACGAGCAGTTAACACTAACAAGGTCCGCTCGATATCCGTCAGGCCCGGAGGGGGGATAAGCTGAGGACAAAGCTGGGACAAGCCGTAGTGGAAAATATAGGAGCGATGGACAAACAGGAGAATGAAGCAGACTGTACAGAGGCAACGTCGATGCAAGTAATACGCTGTGATTGAAACGGATATGAGGAGAGAGCGGGGTGAAAAGAGAAAGGGGGGG